GGAGCATGCAGCGTGGTGATCAATGGCGCACTGTGTCCCTCGGACACAGCGGATCACCAATCAATGGAAAGAGCTGAAGATGTTGACTCAGTCATGTGATCAGCTGTGTCCAATCACAGCTGATCACATGTAAATAGGGAAATGCCAGTTATCTGCATTTCTCTCCTCACGAGTTGTCACGCTGACAGAGGAGAGGAGAGCGGGTAATCGGCATTCCTCGGAGGGGACTGTTGGTTATGTGTTAGAGAAGACACTGGTAGTGATGAGGCAGAACTATGTTTTTACTTGTGTGGCTTAAGTTGCAAACATACAGAGCACATTTCAGCAGACAGTGATAGCAGACATCTTACTTCCTAAAGAGAGAGAGAGGAAGAGAAGAGAAGGAAGAGAGAGAACCAACAAGTTCTACACATATGCACAACTGATAACCTTAGTGTACAGTGCCATCTACTGGTCAAGTGATATTAACATACAATACTATATAGTACATGCTGTTGTATTCCTAACAGGGACATGTATACTGATCATCAGGGCACTGATGATCAGTGTGCCTTGATGATCTATGTAGCCCCAGCAGTGTCACCTGTCAGTGCCACATCAATGCCTACCAGTGCACATCAATGCCACATATCAGTGCCCATCTGAGCTGCCTTTCAGTGTCACCTATCAATGCCAGTCAGTGCCACCTATCAATGCCAGTCAGTTCCACCTATCAGTGCTGTCAGTCAGTGCCACCTATCAGTGCCAGTCAGTGCTGCCTATCAGTGTCAATCAGTGCTGCCTATCATTGCGCATCATTGCCCGTCAGTGCTGCCTATCAGTAGCACCTATCAGTGCCAGTCAGTGCCACCTATCAGTGCCTGTCAGTGCTGCCTATAAATGCCATATATGAGTGCTGCCTTTCAGTGCCCATCAGTGATGCCTGTCAATGCCCATCAGTGCCACCTACCAGTGCCTCCTCATCAGTGCCCATCAGTGCAGCCTATCAGTGCCCATCAGTGCAGCCTCATTAGAGCACATCAGTGAAGGAGAAAAATCACTTATTTACAACATTTTATAACAAAAACTAAGAAAAAACATGTTTTTTTTTTTCAAAATTTTCAGTTGTTTTTGGTTTGTTTAGCAAAAAATAAAAAAAAACCCAGAGGTGATTAATTAATACCAAAAAAAAAAAAAGCTCTATCTGTCACAAAACAATGATAAAAATGTCATATGGGTACAATGTTGCATGACCGCGCAATTGTCATTCAAAGTGTGATAGCGCTGAAAGTTGAAAATTGGCCTGGGCAGGAAGGGGGTGGAAGTGCCCTGTAGGCAGGAAGGGGGTAGAAGTGCCCGGTGGGCAGGAAGGGGGTAGGAGTTCCCTGTAGGCAGGAAGGGGGTAGGAGTGCCCTGTAGGCAGGAAGGGGATAAAAGTGCCTGTAGGCAGGAAGGGGGTAGAAGTGTCCTGTAGGCAGGAAGGGGGTAGGCCCAGGAGGAAGGGGGTAGAAGTGCCCTGTAGGCAGGAAGGGGGTAGAAAGTGCCCAGTAGGCAGGAAGGGGGTAGAAGTGCCCTGTAGGCAGGAAGGGGGTGGAAGTGCCCTGTAGGCAGGAAAGGGGGTAGAAGTTCCCCGGTGGGCAGGAAGGAAGGGGGTAGAAGTGCCCGGTGGGCAGGAAGGGGGTAGAAGTGCCCTGTAGAAGTGTCAGGAAGGGGGTAGAAGTGCCCTGTAGTCAAGAAGGGGGGGTAGAAGTGTCCTGTAGGCAGCAAGGGGGTAGAAGTGTCCTGTAGGCAGGAAGGGGGTAGAAGTGTCCCCGGTGGGCAGGAAGGGGGTAGAAGTGTCCTGTGGGCAGGAAGGGGGTAGAAGTGTCCTGTAGGCAGGAAGTGTCCTGTAAGGAAGGGGGTAGAAGTGCCCTGTAGGCAGGAAGGGGGTAGTAAGTGTCCTGTAGGCAGGAAGGGGATAAAAGTGCACTGTAGGCAAGAAGGGGGTAGAAGTGTCCTGTAGGCAGGAAGGGGGTAGAAAGTGCCCTGTAGGCAGGAAGGGGGGAAGGGGGTAGAAGTGCCTAGTGGGCAGGAAGGGGGTAGAAGTGCCCAGTAGGCAGGAAGGGGGTAGAAGTTGTCACGACCCGCGGCCGCCGCCACCAACAGGCGACAATTGCACAGCCGCGACTAACAGTAATACGTCACGCCCACGGCGTCAGACCCCAGACCTTCTCACCAAACTCGTGACCGAAGGGCCGGCCGATCCAAAACCACGGTGTGATGCGCGTAACAAGGCCCCACCCAGCTGCACCCTACACAGCGATTGCCCAGCTAATGGACTACAATCGGTGCCTGCAGCCTGAATGCGCTTGTTACTGGGTCGGGTTAGTTACGCAACTAACCCTCTACTGCCACCACCACTTTTGTCGGAGACGGGGAAACTCCTGTTATCAAATATACACTATAATGATTGAAATATTGATCTATATAGCACGGCCCGCGGACCTACTATACAGAGATATACAAACAGTAGCGTCTCTTCAAAGGCAGGGATTCGTGAATTGCAAGTAAGCGCTTAGAAACAGTTTAACACTTTCAGAAAGAAAGATTTATTACCAAAAGCGTCAGATGCAAAATAAATATGTACAAAGAGATATCACAAAAATATATATATATGTATATAAAGACACAGCAAACATAGAATAACAAGGAAATTACAGGGTAAGTTACTTGCCTTGCCTGGTTTTAGCAAATTCAAGATGCAGAGCAGAAAGGTTCTTTGATCTCCCCTTGTTACGATGTTGCTGGGAGATCTCGGTGTGTGTGAGTGTCTCTGCGACAAAAACTTTTCACTCTCTTAAAGGTCCCTCTCAGGGGAAGGGAGGGGGGCTCTGACTTGGGAGTGGTCATTGGGGAACTCTACTCTAAATACAACTCATCCCCCATGATATGAAACATACAGTTCACCTGAGGAATGTGCAGTTTATCTTATCTTGATTAAGATGGGGGAGGAAGTACACTTTACAACCTTTATGACTGCTGGATACAGGATGTCTTAACCTGGTTGACTCCCACACCATCTGCCAGAAGATAACGTTTGCCTTCCAGGAATGCAGGGGGGATGTGAGGATTCCAGGAAGACCTCAAATACACAGACAGAACACGAAAAAGAGTGTAAAGGGGGACTCCGCTCCAACAAGGATGAGCAAGTTTGCCACACCTCCCCCTTAAGTGGTTGCCAAGGAGTGAGCTACAAGTTCTCTCCTGACGCAACCGACCTCTGTCCAGAGGTTCCTCTTGGGACGTCCTGGTACCGCTGTACTGCGGGAGAACCGAATTCCATCTGAACAGGAAGCCGTTCTCTCCAGCAGCACTGCTGGGCCGACCAAGTGAGTGGTCACGGGTGGGTACCAGTCGGCTGTGGCTATCCGAATCCCGTTGCAACTGCCGGGGTGCCCACCTGTTCACAAAACACTTCGGCTCAGGGGTGTCCTTTGCTAACATATTAATATGTAGCTTCTTGTCGAGTAGAGAAGAAGATTTCCCTCTCCTACCTTCTTCCTCAGGCTTAGGACTACATCTGGCCTGAAGGTAGTAGCGTCCGTGTGCACCGGAACCGGACAGGCAAATTCTGGGCCTCGCCTCCCAGTGGTGTCCATAGGTACCTTCATCCAAGATGGACAGTCCTCGTTAACTGCTAGCATCCAGGACACCAGTTCCTCCAGTTTCCTGTCTGCTAGGTAAGTCACAGGTCCAGCTGAGCCATGATCATCGCATCCAGGCGTCTTACCGTAGCCAGCTGTACCCGCGACTGACGTAACCTGCTTTTTGGCCTGGGGAGCAGACCAGGTCTCAACTGCCTCAGTCTCCCCCCACGCCCAGACCTCTGGGGGTCTCTTTTTACTGATGGGTTCCTAAACTGAACCACTGACATGCCCCTCTGACAGTTACCCTTCTTGGCTGTCGGACTGGGCACAGGCGGTTTGTTCCAGCCTAGTGACAGGGGCCCAAGTTGCTCTTCCCAGACAGGGCCGAGCACCACGAGGCCCCTAAAGTGGACAACTGCACCCAGGTCCACTGCGCATTGCGGGCCACTCCTGACCGCAGGAGTGGCGGTCAGTGCCTTCTCAACCCCAACTAGCTTTCCCAAGGATTCAGGCAAGCCACATGGGGTAGTGAAGGCTGGCTCGTCTGGAGCTTGCTGGGTTAGAGATGGTGGTCCATGCTCCCTGCTCAGGCCCATGATGGAAAACCAGTAGGCACCTTCCGGATGCTCCATTGCCTCATGGCTCCTGGGCATGGGGGTACCACAAACCCAGGGCTGGTGTTCAGTTTCCCAAGGTTCTCAGAAAGCCTGGTCATCGTATCCTGCTGGAGGACCGCGACCACTAGGACTGCCCAGACTCTAGCTGATCCCTGGATTCCTGACTGTGCCATTCCCTTTGCCTCTGTGGCCCAATCATCCGGCACCTTCTGAATCCAGACACCATCTATCAGAGGCCTGGGCAGCTGCTCCAGACCCCAAGTGCTAGGGAAGGGTGATTGGGTCTGGGCCTGGAGGCCCTCTCTCTGTAACCCAAGCATCAACCTTCCTGGCCTGCTGCCTCTGACCTCTGTCTGTCTGCCTGTGAACACACCTTGACAAGTGGGATTAACTGACAGGCTTTCAGGCTCCCAGCCCCCACTGACTAGGCCAGTCTTTCTAGCCTCCTTGCTCTTTTGTTTACTCTCCCCAGCAGGGGGGCTCAGCTCAGGACACAAGCCGAAATATCCATATGAATGACTTTCCAGAGCTGCCTTCCCTGTGGGACTACAAATCTCAGTTAGCTTACCTCTGAAGGTCCTTTGGGACTCACTTTTCAGGGCTTCCTGAACTGTGAAACTGCAAGTCCCAGCCAGCTTACCTCTGAAGGTCCTTTGGGACTCACTTTTCAGGGCTGCCTGAGGCGTGGAACTACAAGTCCCAGCCAGCTTACCTCTGAAGGTCCTTTGGGACTCACTTTTCAGGGCTGCCTGAAGTGGGGAACTACAAGTCCCAGCCAGCTGTGGTGTGCCTTCCTTAGCAGGGCAACTCACAGTTAGCGGGCCTCTGAAGCTCCTTTGGGAATCGCTTTTCAGTGCTGCCTGAGGCGTGGAACTACAAGTCCCAGCCAGCTGCCTAGTCCTATGCAAGGCCAACGGCTGGGCACTTATCAAGGCACAATCTTCTGAGCCTGGGCAAGGGACAGGCCTATCCAGACCATCCCCTTGCTCAACCCCCAGAGACTGTACCTCAGCCCCCAACACTGAAAATGCATCCTTTGTTTCATCACAAATCTCATTGTTAGCATTACCAACATTGCCGTCAACAATACAAACGTTATCAATGACATTACTATCAATGTTATTCCCAATGTTACTAACATTAGTAAGATCACCCTCAGTGTCACCACAACGATCCTCAACAGTCACGTTCATAATATCCGTGACACGAGTTCAATACCTCCCCAGGCAAGGGGATTTCTTCTTGTTCTCCAGCTACTGGAGACTCCTGCAGCCCCACACCATTCCCAGCCCCCTCCCTCTGTCCATCCACCGGTGGCCCAGACATTACCCCAATATCTGTCCACAGTACCTTGGCTGGTCCAGAGAGTTCCAGGGGGACCTTCCGGGTCTTCTCGGCAGGGGCATAATACGAAACAAGAGTGCCTAGGTCAGCACCCAACAAAACGGGTGGGCAGTTCATCTGAGACCCCCACCTCCCTCATCCCCCTCCCCGCACCCCAATCTAGGAATACCTTTGCACAGGGTATGCGTGAACGGGTCCCCCCAACTCCTGTGAGGGTCAGGAACTTTCCTGGGATGAGGTTCTGTGGCTCAATCAGCTCTGGCCGGATCAAGGTGACTTCGGCCCCGGTGTCCCGGAAACCAGTTGCAGACCGGTTGCCCACGGTAACGGGCTGCAAGTTATCGGGGGTTACCCGCATCTTCCTGCGAACGAACAGCACAGAAGAAGAGTTGCTGGCCGGCTGGCCAGGTGATGTCATCTGCTTCTGCTCAGGACACTGCGTCCTGAGATGTCCGGCTTTCCCACAGGCGAAACATCTGCGGGTGTCAGGCAGGAATGGCTTGGCTCCAAGCGCTGCAGGGTTGGGCGGAGGTGAAGCTTGACTCACCAAAGTAGGAGAGGTTGCTAGGGACGATTTCCCCCCTTTCCAGCTGTTTGGAGGAGCCTTGCGAGGTTCAGGCACTCTCGTGTGGACGAAGGTATCTGCCAGGTCTGCTGCAGCTTTAGTAGATGCTGGCTCCCTCTCCAAGACGAACTGTCTGACGTCTGCTGGACAAATGTGCAAGAGTTGATCTCTGATCATGAGATCCTCCAAAGATTCATAAGAATCAACTTTCAGTCCCTTAGTCCACTGTCGGAATGTGGTACGTAAGCGACTTGCCACATCCGTGTAAGAGTCCCCAGGTCCCTTCTGCATGGACCTGAACCGCTTGCGGTACACTTCCGGGGTCATCTGGTACTTCCGGATAATGGCATCTTTTAAAACGTTCATAGTCATCATCTTGCCCCTCTGGCAATTCAACAAACGCTTCCAGGGCCTTGCCTTGTAGCCCTGGTGTCAGGTACCGAACCCATTGAGCTTGGGGCACATGGTACTGATGGCACGTTTTTTCAAAGGACAGTAAGTACGTGTCAATGTCACTGTCCTTTTCCATCACTGGAAACTTGGCTGCGCCCACGGAAAGAGTGCGTCCCTGTGATCTAGGGCCCCGAGGTTCTGACCCGGTCGCTGCTGGAGCCTTGCCATCTCCATCTCGTGCCGACGATCAGCTTCCCTCTGCAGCTTGGCGTTCCTCTCTCTCAGCCTGCGTTCCGCCTCTGCAGTTTCTCGCTCTGCCGCTTGGCGTTCCATGAACCGCAGGTATGCCTCCAGATCTGTCTCCATGAGGCGTTTCAAGGCCTCCTGCATCTGAGGAGAGTCTCTGCTGGTTCCAGGCACCACGGTGTTAGCGCACTCAGGCGGTGGTGTGACGTTAACCTTTGGTGATCCTCCAGTGTCAGTCTCTGTATGCCCATCCTGTGAGGCCGTCTCTGAGCCACTGGCAATGTGGGTAACGGGAACCCCTCCATGTTCAAGTTCCCCCGAGTTCTGATTTGCTTGGATATCATACTCCACTAGATCACTAATCAAATCTTCACGAGTTTTGCGACAGACGTCCAATCCTCGTGAGGCACATTCAACTTTCAAATCACCTTTGCTCATTTTCTCGTAATCTGCTTCACCAGGCATAATTGCAAGCAAAGATAAGATAGAAGAGAAAAGTAGGAAAAGAAAATAGCTGTTGCTATGTGTCTCTCTATACACACATATATATAAAATAAAATATGCACCGCTTGTTTCTAAGGACTGTTTCCACAAAGGTTACAATCCTTCAGTGCAGAGCCAACTTTTAACACTGCACTGAAGCTCTTAATGCAATTATCCCACGTACGCTGCCACCAATATGTCACGACCCGCGGTCGCCGCCACCAACAGGCGACAAATCGCACAGCCGCGACTAACAGTAATACATCACGCCCATGGCGTCAGACCCCAGACCTTCTCACCAAACTCGTGACCGAAGGGCTGGCCGATCCAAAACCGCGGTGTGTGACGCGCGTAACAAGGCCCCACCCAGCTGCACCCTACACAGCGATTGCCCAGCTAATGGACTACAATCGGTGCCTGCAGCCTGAATGCGCTTGTTACTGGGTCGGGTTAGTTACGCAACTAACCCTCTACTGCCACCACCACTTTTGTCGGAGACGGGGAAACTCCCGTTATCAAATATACACTATAATGATTGAAATATTGATCTATATAGCACGGCCCGCGGACCTACTATACAGAGATATACAAACAGTAGCGTCTCTTCAAAGGCAGGGATTCGTGAATTGCAAGTAAGCGCTTAGAAACAGTTTAACACTTTCAGAAAGAAAGATTTATTACCAAAAGCGTCACACAGATGCAAATAAATATTTACAAAGAGATGTCACAAAAATATATATATATGTATATAAAGACACAGCAAACATAGAATAGCGAGGAAATTACAGGGTAAATTACTTGCCTTGCCTGGTTTTAGCAAATCCAAGATGCAGAGCAGAAAGGTTCTTTGATCTCCTCTGTTACGATGTTACCTCGGAGATCTCTGAGTGTGAGTGTTTTTGGACTAACTCACTTAACTCTCTTAAAAGGTCCCTCTCAAAAGGGGAGGGGGGGGGGGGCTCTGACTTGGGAGTGGTCATTGGGAAACTCTACACTAAATTACCAGCTTCATATCCCGTGATATGAACCATACAGTTGACCTGAGAAATGTTCAGTTCTGGGTCAGGTTGATAAGGTGTGGGGCTTACATAGCTTTGGGTGACCAAAGTGACACCTCCGCAGACAGAAGGGCTGGCTCCACTTCTCATGTCTTAGCCTCTTTGTTCCACATCATCTGCCAGGAGATAAAGTCTGCCTCACAGGAATGCAAGGGGGGGATGTGAGGAATGATTGGAGGAAGACCTCAATACAGCAAGGAACAGGGGAACTCCGCTTCCAGCTCTGATGAGCTAGTTTGCTACAATCATCACCTATTATATTTCATCCCCATTTTGTACTGATTTATATTATTAATAAATATATATTTTTGCACATTATTGCTTTTTATTTTGTCTTCCAATTATCACAAATACAGAACTGGGATGTCGGTTACTTTGTGAGAATTAGTAGGGAATCTCCTTCATTCCAGATCCCGCCTGTTTCCATGAATTGTATACGGATTATTTCCTCACAGATAAAGTTCTGACAATTTGTACCGTTCTGGTGTTTTTGATCCTCAGAAATGAGATCTGCCGTCATCAGACATGATGGATTTTCAGACATCTATCCCATAGTTTGTAGACTCTATAACTCTCCTACACACTGAATCATAGACACTGATTGGGGTTATTGTACCCAAGAAATGGCGCAGAATACACCTTTGTCTACATTTAGGAAGGAAAGACGATTTATTTGTAAAAACAAAAACAAGAAAAATGGTAAAAAGTGGTGTTTAAATACCACCAAAATAAATATCTATTTGTGTGAAAAAAAATTAAAAAATTATAATTTGGGTACAATGTTGCATGACTGTGTAATTGTCTTTCAAAGTGTGAGAGTGCTGATAGTTACCAGTCAGCCTGGGCAGGAAGGGGGTGGAAGTGTCCGGTATACAGGAGGTAGAAATATTTATTTTTATACAGACCTCCAAGTGTTTGTGAAATCTCCCACCACAAAATGTACTCAGCCAATCACAGGGAAGGACTCCATTTTTACTCTTCTCCTGCCATCAATGGTCAACCCGGTCCCACACTTCATCCATGTCTTTGGGGACCTCTGATCTCCTTATGAACTGTTCCTTCCATGATGAAGATCAGCCATGGAGTATATCTGAGGTGTACATCAGGGTGTGCTTCTTCCCCACATGAGAGCTGGGATGTCCAGCAACATTCATCTAGAAGACATTTCCCGCACTCAAGGCACTACTAATACACCTCCAGGGTTGTGTGGGACCCCTGATGTACAGGAAGACAGGACTTCAGTAAGGAACATTTCCCTCACTCAGGACAGGAAAGTGGCTTCTCCCTGTGTGAGATCGCTGATGTCTGGAAAGATGCGAATTCCGTGAAAAACATTTCCCACACTCAGGACAAGAATATGGCTTCTCCCCCGTGTGAGATCTCTGATGTCTGTAAAAGACTGGCACTTCTGTGAAAAACATTTCCCGCACTCAGAACAGGTATATGGCTTCTCTCCTTTGTGAGATCTCTGATGTGTGTAAAGATTGAGACTTCCGTGAAAAACATTTCCCACACTCAGGACAGGAATATGGCTCTCTCTCCTGTGTGACATCTCTGATGTCTGTAAAGACCAGACTTCTGTGAAAAACATTTCCCACACACAGGACAGGAAAATGGCTTATCCCCCTTGTGAGATCTCTGATGTGTGTAAAGATTGGACTTATCAGAAAAAGATTTCCCCACACTCAGACAGGAATACGCTTCTCTCCCCCGTGTGAGATCTCTGATGTATGGAAAGATGAGACTTGCATGAAAAACATTTCCCGCACTCAGAACAGGAAAACAGCTTCTTCCCTGTGTGAGATATTTTATGCACATTAAGATGGATTTATAACAGAAACATTTCCCGCACTCAGTACAGGAGAAGCTCTTCCCTGTTGGAAGGCCGGCCGGTCCCGCACAGTCTGAGGTTCCTCAGGATACGAGGAATCCGATGGTCCATCTACACTGGGTGGTGCCCAGATGGACATTGGAGGGAGCCGGGTTTTCTCCTGGACTATACTGTGTGATGTCCTCATCTTCTACTTTCCAGTCTGGAGACAAAGTGAGACAATCCTCGGAGGTTTTCCTCATCTCCCGGCCATGGACTAAAATACAAAGACAAAGAGGATTACTAGACAGGAGCTGATTGGTTCCCCCAAACCAGGACTCCGCCCACATCAGGCAGCTTGGTCTCTGAGGAGCTTACAATTCCACCCTCAAGGGAACTAGGAAATGGCTCCTCTGATCTCCTACCAGGTCATTTCTTTATTCATGGGACCTTAGTCAGAGAGTGAGGAAACAACCAGAACTGTCTTTTATATAGGAGGGACAGTGATGAGGGGATTATAGGACGAGGGTCCCCACCCCCTCTATCACTCATCGCCATCTTCCCAACACAAGAAGTACTGCACTTCCTTATTTAGTCCATGATTTAGTCATGAAGAACAGCGGGGCTGAGCCCCACCAGAGGTCAGAGAGTGAGGATGGGGGGGGAGAACAACCAAGATGAAGACTGGACTGATCCTGAAGACCACCATCATTGGGGTATTGACTCCTCCCTCATTATCACTTTCTGTTTAAGGGTCCAAAGTTGGAGGATGTTATCACATTATTATCACCATGTAAAAGTCTGTGCTCCAATCACATCATCCGATAAAATGTCCAGCTGGGAGGAAATGGGGGGGGGGAACAGAAGTAAGGCCGATGTAATGTACAACTATATATAGGATGCCTAAGGTTGTGAACTATATAATATCAGAATGATGCAATGTACAAGAGTATATAGTGCAGGGGTCAGGAGTATGTAATGTACAACATAGAGTATATAGTGCAGGGGTCAGGAGTATGTAATGTACAACATAGAGTATATAGTGCAGGGGTCAGGAGTATGTAATGTACAACATAGAGTATATAGTGCAGGGGTCAGGAGTATGTAATGTACAACATAGAGTATATAGTGCAGGGGTCAGGGAGTATGTAAGAGTATATATAGAGGGGTATATAGTGAGATAGTGGGGTCAGGAGTATGTAATGTACAACATAGTAGTATATAGTGCAGGGGTCAGGAGTATGTAATGTACATACATAGAGTATGTATATAGTGCAGGGGTCAGGAGTATGTAATGTACAACATAGAGTATATAGTGCAGGGGTCAGGAGTATGTAATGTACAACATAGAGTATATAGTGCAGGGGTCAGTATGGCAGAGTATATAGTGTAGTATGTAATGTAACAAGAGTATATAGTGCAGGGGTCAGGTATGTAATGTATAGAGTATGTACATATAGTAATATACAATATATAGTGTAAGAGTCAAAAAGTTAGGAGTGTATTATCCTGTGCCTCTAATTAATGAATAGTGCAGACATATACCATACAATGTGATAAGTTATATACTATTAGTTTAAAATATATAAATATTAAACATTATTTCCGGCGTCTATGGAAGTCACAATTAGACACCGCTATATATACAGAGACAGACAATCTAACTGGGTGGGGTAAGTGGTACAAAAGGTAATAAGTGTGGGGGATGAGCTGATGGAAGAATTAAAAGTTTAGTTGTTAGTTGGAGGTGTGATAGACTTCCCTGAAGAGATGAGTCTACCTATGATATATTACAGACTAAATCCACCTGGAGACCTGATACAAGTTACATACGTAGTCTTAGGGGTCACTGAGGAAGTCCATGTGTGGACATTTCTACCTATGATACACTATATTGCCCCAAGTATTGGGCGGCCTGCCATTCCACACATGACCTTTAATGGCCCCCCAGTCTTAGTCCGTAGGGTTCAATATTGAGTTGGCCCCCGCCCTTTCCACACATGACCTTTAATGGCCCCCCAGTCTTAGTCCGTAGGGTTCAATATTGAGTTTGGCCCCGCCCTTTGCAGCTATAACAGCTTCAACTCTTCTGGGAAGGCCGTCCACAAGGTTTAGGAGGGTGTCTATGGGAAGGTTGGACCATTCTTCCAGAAGCACATTTGTCAGGTCAGGCACTGATGTCGGGGGAGGAGGCCTGGCTCACAGTCTCCACTCTAATTCATCCCAAAGGTGTTCTATGGGGTTGAGGTCAGGACTCTGTCGAGGCCAGTCAAGTTCCTCCACCCCAAACCGGCTCCTCCATGTCTTTATGGACCTTGCTTCATGCACTGGTGTGCAGTCATGTTGGAACAGGAAGGGGCCATCCCAAAAACTCTTCACAAAGTTGGGTGCATGAAATTGTCCAAAATGTTGCCTTAAAATTCCCTTCACTGGCACTAGGGGGCCAAGCCCAACCAAAAAACAACTCCACACCATAATCCCCCCCCCTCCAACAAATTTTACACTTGGCCCAATGCAGTCAGGCAAGTACCGTTCTCCTGGCAACCACCAAACCCAGACACATCCATTGGATTGCCAGACACAGAAGCGTGGTTGGTCCCTCCAGAGAACACGTCTCCACTGCTCTAGAGTCCAGTGGTGGCGTGCTTTACACCACGGAATCTGATGCTTTCCATTGCACTTGGTGATGGAAGGTTTGGATGCAGCTATTCGGCCATGGAAACCCATTCCATGAAGCTCTCTACACACTGTTGTTGGGCTCATGTGAAGGCCACACCAAGTTTGGAGGTCTTTCGCTATTGACTCTGCAGACAGTTGGTGACTTCTGCGCACTGTGTGCTTAAGCTGACCATGCTCTGTCATGTGACGTGGCCTACCACTTGGTGGCTGAATTGCTGTTGTTCCCAGTTGCTTCCACTTTGTTATAACACTAACAGTTGAGCGTGGAATATTAAGTAGCCAGGAAATGTCACGGATGGACTTATTGCCCAGGTGGACCACCTATCACGGGACCACGTTTGGAGTCACTGAGCTCCTGAGAGCGACCCATTCTTTCACAAATGTTTGTAGAAGCAGTCTGCATGCCTAGGGGCTTGATTGTATACACCTGTGTCCATGGAGGGGATTGGAACACCTGAATCACATGATTGGGGAGGGATTGGAACACCTGAATCACATGATTGGGAGGGCGGGGAAAATACTTTTGGCAATATAGTGTAGTATATTTGCATGAAATTTGCACTTTTAGCACTTATTGATAAAGATGTAGGTGCAGCATTTTTTTTCTTTAGTATATTATAGTGTAAGTAAGATTCAGGACTCATAATATTATTCAGCAATCAGTGGAAGATTAAATGTTTACTGTAGACAAGTTGCAGAGATCCCACACCGCTGCCTCCCATCTCCTGAGACTGCACTCAGTGACTTGGGTCTGAGACACTACAGACATATCCCTCCACCCGGCACAGCCAGCAGACCACAGAGCAAGGAACCCTGGGAGAAATGTTCTGTCAGAGATCCTTACTAGCCCATGGGATAAAGGGGTAGAAGACCCAAACACATGTCCCAGGTCAATCAACACCTATTGTGAACATCCCAACATTTTGCTGCCAGCTGAACCCCAGAACCTCCATAAATCCAGTCTAGAGACATAAATTGTGTCTGCAGCACAGAGAAGGAAGATTATCCGAGAGAAATCCAGGAATACAGGACGGGGAACACAGCTCAGGAAAGTGACCAGGGGATTACAGGCTGATATCACCCAGTCCCCGCCCTACTCTGGACCAATCAGTGAGCAGTATGGGTGGAGGAATGGATTTAGTGTTCATGACCCACCTGTGCTGATCTCTGTAGGAGTGTCCTCCTCTATAAATGTCCCCGTTATTCCATCCTCCTCCATAGACTGCTGATCATCCCTCACATACGCCTCTTCTTCTTCTTCTGCTTTCACCTCAAATTCTATATCGATTGGATCTCCACTCTAAATCAAGGAAATGAGAGAAAATATCATCTGTAAAATGTATAAGGTCACATAAAAAAAAAATCCACACATGACCTCTATGAGTTGGTAACAATGCAGATAATGTACAGATCCTAATGATACTATCAGTGATTGTTCCTCATCTACCTGATGATGGTGAGGGATGGTGTGACCTTCCTGTGTGGAATCCCGGGAATACAGAGGACGGGGACATCTCTCTGGTGGGTTCCCATGACTGGATCCATCTGTAGGAAACACACACACTGACTGAATCCATTGTTTCTGTGTATAAAGGTAAAAATATGTGACCGTGCTAGAAAGAAGTGGAGCAGCTATACACAAAGGTAACCGAGATAAAACAGTTCAGTAGTGGTGCAGCGCTAGATAATAATGATAGGAATATACTCATAAAAACTAACAGGTAAAGAGGGTACTAGGTAAAATTATAAATGAAATAAATAAATGCTAAAAAGTTCAAAGGTGACTGTAGTGCTCTTAGAGTGCCTGCTTCCCTAGTAAGCCGGTGCTTGTGCAAATAGTTGTGAAAAAATGCACACTCACCAGACGCGCAATTTAAATGTGCATGTTAACATATAACTAGATGTTCTCAGGATAGGCCAGGTGATGGGGTAACTGGCTCCTCTTTATGCATTTTGTACGCACATCTTCAGAGGGCATCCCCTCTGAAGTTGTGCGTGCGCACAAAATGCCTAAGAAGGAGCCAGTTATGCTGTGACATCACGCCACCGGAGCCTCATGGAGCTCCGGTGGCCATCTTTGATTGTGGACGGTTAGTCCTGACATCTCATCTTTATGATATATTCTGATGCATCGGTTTTTACTTTCATCCCTTAATAAATGAATTAATCTATACGTACCATACTACACTATAGGCATGTCCTTGTTTTGACTCCCTGGTGGAGTATTCATTTTCAGACACCCAGTTAAAAAGACACAGATCCATCCCAGTACCCAGAGAGGTAATCTCCTGCATATCCAGGAAGCAGCACCCACTCAACCCTTAACCCT